AAAAAAAAAAAAAAAAAAAAAAAAAAAAAGGGGGAGGGGGGGTGGGGGGGGGGGGGGGGGGAGGGAACCAGCATCTCGAAGATACTGTGCTCTGCTTCTAACATGTTTAAAAAGGCCATATAATTTAATTTTAATTCGTTATGCCAGAGAGGAGTAGACGTTTCAGAAATTCGATCTGGCAAAAGCGTTGCTGCTTTTCCTCTCTCCCCTCCCAAAAAGTCATCACAAGGCAATGAATTCCATCTAAGAGCTCTGCCTACTTTATCAGCTCTTTCAAGGACTCTTTGGGGCAGCCTCTCCCCACGCTCCAAGACAGGCTTGAAAGTACAGGGTGGACCCCAGAACCACGTTGCTCCCCCCAGTAAAACTCACGACAAAGAAACGGGCTACAGAGCAAATGCCTTCTTCCCCCCATCCTGGGTTCTTCGCTAGGGGAAGCCGAGCCAGTTTCACACCAAGTCTTCGATTCTTGTTTTTCCCAAACCAAACTCAAACCCAACAACATCGCGTTTTCTGCAACCTTCCCCCAGAGCAAAGGACTCGGAGGTGAGGGGCCGAAGGGTTATCAAACTGCTGGATGGTGTTTGCCCACGAGAAGCGTTAATGCCCAGAAAACCCCCCCCCCCCTCCCCCCCCCCGCGCCACATACTTCCACTCACCCTGCCAATTCCCAGAGCAGCTGCGCCGAGCCTTCGTGGGTGAGCTGCATCTGGGGCAGTCAAAACACAGGCTCACCTTGCTTTCCCACTGCTGCCCCTTCCCTTCGCCCTGCCCGGATGGGAGAGAGATTGACTTTGTTCTTGCTTGCCTGCTTTGGGGGAACGGGGCTCCCCCTTTCACAGGACCCCCTCCCCCAAGCCACTCGCCACCCCATGCCTTACCGGTCTTGGAGATGCGCCGGCCAAAGGTCCTTCTGTCTCCAGGCTCCCTGCAGGGGCTTATGAATGGCTGGACGCCTCTGGTCTTACCGAGCACTTGGGAATGTGCTTCGGGTTGGCCCTGGCAGCTGACAGCTCACCTCCCAGGCTCCGCCTCCTCTCGCAGCTCTGAATGTGTTTGTGAGTGTGGGTATGTGTCTGAACTACCCAGGGTTACTAAGAGACGGCTGTTTGCGCTGAACCTGGCAAGCGGCCACGGCAGTAGCAACAGCCGCGTGGAAACATGAATAGGATGAGTCAAAGCGAGTTGAGCGATGTTTTCCACCAATGAGGCAAGGTTGGCTCTCCGCGTCTCACCAGGCCTCCTTCTGAAGCCACATTGGCTGGGGCTGAGCCCCAGCAGCTGTTGCAACATCCCAGGGACCCCAGTGGTGAAGTCATCCGGGTCCCCTGAGTTTTGACAGAATGGCAGTCAGGTGAGGGCTTGGCCTGACAACGGAAGGGGCAATCAAGGGGGTAAGGACAGCCTTTGTCTGCTTGATGGAGGTGGGGGAGATGGAGCTGCTGAATGCAGGTGAGCAGCAGGCAGGAGTCCCCCCCCCCAAAAAACCAGGCACGCACCCCTAGACCCAACCCACTTGTCTTGCACGATAGAGATGGAAGAGCCACTGAAATAATCAATACAGATGGGAGAGCTGACAAGATGATGTGGTGGCCAAACACTCATTCAGGATCCTAGGATGTCCTTCTAATCCTATTTCCTCTTCTTCCCCCAGGTTCCCCACACACACAAACAAACGGACACAAGTCATTTAGCATTTGGGGCACTATTAATGGGCTGAGACCTTGAGATATTTGGGGGTTCTCCTTTCTGGTTTCCTTGCCCATTCACTACTTTGGGGGCTCTACCCTCCTTCCTGTTAACTTCTCATGAATGGATCAGGGTCTCTGACCCTGGGATCCTCAACCAGGGGACAACTTCAGCATTATTATATAGGATGTGGTGAGACTCATATCCACCAGTGAAAGCCTTGTATTTTTCACTCTTTGTCGGCCATCGCACGGAAAGGCTCTCTTGCGGATGAAGAAAAGGAGCCTATAAGCTATTAAAATAATAATGCAGCTTGAAAAACCTGGAATTCAGTCATTCCAGGGAGGTGGAGAATGTCTGCATTCAGCGAGGAAGAAAAATTCCCATAGAAATAAGAAAACGTTGCACAGACAGCTTGTGGGAAGACCAAATCCTCTGGGGCCTAGTGGTTGGGGTCAAGGAAATGCAGAAGCTTCCATTGTTTTCTGGGGGGGGGCAAATGTGAAATTTGAAAAATGGATACCAACAGCATCTCTGTCCCCTCCCCTCCCCCGCCAAAAATCATGGTATTTAAAGGGCCAGGCTGCTCCTCGGTATATACTTGCAAGTATTTTTCAGGAGGACCTTAGCGTAATGTTGAGGCCCATCAGTCATTTTTCAGCAGGATAGAATTTAATTTGCCCCTAGTGCCGCAGAGGACATTACACAATCCTGATTTCTCAAAAGTTGTATAGAAAAAGGTCTCTCTTGAAAATCTCCCCTTGTTTTCAGTGGTTGTTTGAAACTGGAGCTGGAGGGGGGGGAAAAGTATTTTCTTGGCCGGGTGAGAACCCTGTCATTGCTGCTTAAAGAAAAGGCATTGTCTGTCCTTAAGTATGTTCTCAGTTAGTTACAGAGGCAAAAAAACCCCAAACCATCTCCCCTTTTCCACCAGCAGTTATTTTTTTTTCTAGGCACCAGGTACAAGAAACTTACTCTTAAATTATACATGGCATCTGTGTAAAAAGGCAGAGTTGCTGGTGTGTATTTTTTAAAAATTAATTTGCTCTTTAAAGCAAAAATAAAAACACCAACATTTGTGGAATTCTCAAAAACAGCATTTTAAGTGATCTATACACCCATATTCTGCAAAATCATGCATGTGGTTCCCGAGGCCTCCAAAACTTGCAGGAACAGCGCCTCGCCCTGTCATCTGTCTTCAAATAAAGGAATATTAAATTAATCAGAGGTTTACCCTCGATTGAGCAAAATCTAACAAGATTTGGCATTCCTGCACAAGATCTTCCGAGAGCTTGGAATGAAAGATGGCTAAATCTTGGGAGATCTGGGCCATTTAGTCTGATGGCACCGAACACACCAGCCATTTGCTGATTTGATCCATGGATAGAAGCACTCAACAGCCAAAGTAGATTCAAAGTCACTCAGGAAAATCTATTGATTATTCTCTTTGCACTAGATCACCGAGGGTTTCTGACGGTTTAAAAACAGCAACAAAGGCTGCGTCTCCCCCTGCCCTACCCAAATGAGGCCAATGAAATAAAGGAAGTGGTAGAAATGGCATTTTTGTCATAAAGGGTTCTGAGGGTGAAGAAAAACAATTTTATACCTATTGTGTATCGATGCATTGCCTTCACTTCAGAAAAAAAATTAGGGCTTCACTTCTGTGAGTGCTGAAAACTTAGTCCCTAAAAGCCAATAAATGTGTTTCTCAAACTTGGCAACCCTAAGACATGGCGACTCCAACCCCCCGAAACCTCAGCATGCTGAGG